AAGATGCCCTTGAGTGCCTCGCTTGGACAACAGTCCAAACCACTGCCAATCAGACGCTATAGACCTACAGCTTGAACCGTGTACAATCTAGGCTGCTAGGAGTCTTACGATAAACTCACACGGTACAATGTGAATAGCAGGAATGTGAACTGGTTCAAGTTCAGGCTTGAAGTCAGATCAAGTTGTTTGACGCCGGGGGAGTGACGGTCGGATTGAAGCAAGTGAATGCGCTCACCCCCGTCCACGTAGCAATCAATTCGGCCCTGTTGCTTTCTAACCTCGATCTAATACGAGGCCTACCGCCCGAAATATGTCGTTCTTAGTGGGCCCAGTTTCAGGCGCATTGGTGGCCGGAGGAGTCTACTATGGCTTCTCTACTATGATCAACACCCGGTATGTAGCTACGACTCGTATATGTACTAGCGACGCAGATTGCACTTATGCATGAGACAGGACTATCCAACATTGTACTGAGTCCGTCTCCACTTCTCTCCTTTGCCGCTCGTGACAGCTTCAACGCATCTTCATCCCACAGTCTGCATTCACTATCCCAGCGACTCCTGGATGCACCTTCGACGATACCCGCACCGTCCCCAGCTTCAGAGCGGATCCCCCAGCGTCCATTTTCGACAATGCTCAAAAGCGAATGGAACGTGCAGATCGAGACACTCTTCCGCAGTGTTGGTGACTGGGAAAGCCGAGCTACTAGTTGGGGCAAGAAAGTCCTGTACGGAGGAGATGCGAGGGCGAGACAGAAGGAACAGTGAATTATGTTGTATCCCGTGCATAGACTTGTCCGGTGAGCTAGGAGTGCGCATACTTGAATTTCTCGTGGATGCCTCGACAAGATAGGTAGGGAGATACAGCCAGTCCAAACATAACAGGAATATAATACACATGCGACGGAAACAGCTGCCTGTGCACACTATGTAGTGTTGCGCTCAAGAATGACTAACTTGTCACTCTTGGCCATTTTCAGTGGCTGCAGCAGGGCAGTGGGATTACCACCTAAGCCTATCCTTGGGATACTTCTGATAGCAGGGTTGACTACCCAGCGATCAAAGCTATCTATAGTGTCAACCTGGTCCCAACGCTTCGATTTTGTGAACGAAGAAGCAGATGTCGACTCGGCGACGATGTGGGTGACTTCGCGCGTCCCCTTGAGCACTCGAGGCGAAAGGTTTTCGGTCTTGTTATACGTCCAATGTTTGGTTGGGGAAGCAAGCTCCGGGAGGAATGGTGGTGCGTGCGTATGGAGGAAAAGAGATGCACCAGTTTGAGCCGCGAGGTTGGAAATATGGACATGCACTAGAGGTTGATGCTGATGAGTGGTTACGAAGGATATGTCAGAAAATCAGACGTACCGTTGTCCCGTTTCGAATAAAACTCATTGAATTTTGACAGAGCCTCTCCTCCTGGATAATTGGCCATCGATGCCATTGTAAAAAGATATGTCATGATGCAATTACTTGCCAGGAGGCCTGCGACAGCTAAGAAACAAAATCTGCCGAGTACGGTACGTTTCCGTCGGCTGACCCTGTATATTCATCTATTTGTATGACTCATCTCGCGAAATGCGAGACGACTTACAATCGGGAGGCCCCCCTTGCTGCTGCGATGTTGAAAATGGGAACCACATAGATAATGAAGCGCCACTCTTTATGCCCCAGCGCACTAATGAGTCCCACGAACATCAGTGCAGGCCCTAGATGACCTCGGATACGTGAGTCTGTTGCGAATCCTATCATGGAAAGAGGGAGGGAGGCAAGCAATAGCTTCGGTAAGAAAGACGTAAAGTAAGTGTGGTATGGCAGAACCTGATTCGCACATCACAAGCAGATCGTTAGCGTCGGATGATCATATTGAAGACAGACGGTCTCAACGCACACCCCACTCTGAGCTCTTGCCCTCAATCACATTGAAATACAGACCATGCAGCTCAGGCCAAAGAGGCCATTGCTGCCAGAAGTATGAGTCCACTCCAATTGTGAGCCCTGCCTCAAGAGATGAGCTGGGCGCATTGAGGTGACACGAGAAAATAGACACCTGCGGAGGCTAGTACTGAAACTAGCCCAACCATTACAAGTTTCGTGATCGATGTATGTCCCCAGATCAGAGCATGGAGCGCCATCGGCCCAAGCAATAAGAGGACTTCAGAGCGGAATACGGTAGCAGTAAACACGAGCAACGCAAGTGCGGCGTGGAGGGAGTGTCTTGGCGGATATAAAGAGTTTGGGGCGCGGTTGATTAACAGATAATGCGCAAGGTTGACTACAGGGCTTGTTTAGGGTGCAGACTAACAGTTGAGCTTCTGGAGCGTACCAGGAAACAGCGCAAACATGTTTGGTAAGGTTCTGCCGACCCAAAATGGTAGATGAAATTGGGTGCAAGTAAGTAACGCAAATAATACACCTGTGGGTCCACCAAAGCGGCGGGAGACAGCGCGTCGAAGGAGGCAGAACGCGAATGCATTCAGTGTGGCAAGAACAAGCCGGACTGCTCAAGGTTCGTGAGATTCCACTTTGTTTTACTGAAAGTACTCACCGATTATTTGCAAATCGAACTTGTCAGATACCAGTCCGAGTGACTGAGCAACATGAATTGCCGGGCTAGACAGCCAAGCTAGTAGAACACTCCCCACGAATGTTCGCGGAACTGCACCAGGGAATACGAAGTGATCATACTATTTATTTATTCACTTTCAGGGTATGCGCGGGATGTACGAAGATGGCTCATGCGCACATTGTGGAGGGCTGCTGGTTGAATACCATACATGAGTACATCGTGTGTGGCGTGTAAGTTAAAGCTCTCTTCGACTTTAGTGTAGGGCGCGAGCAGGACATGACACCAGCTAGTGCCGACGAGCAAAGCATCCAGAGCAGTGGTCATTACAATACACCTATCACCAGTGCCCTGAATATGATGGGCAAGAAAGAAAAAGCAGACTTTTGACTTGGACACGTCCGACGTGGAGCTCGGAACTGATGGGCAGCGATCCGTTGTTCGGGGATTGAAGTATTGGTAGAGTGAGCATTTCGGGGTGTAAATAGTTGTTTAGATTCTCAATCTCCGCAGCTACTCCATAGGGATGTGACAGGCGGGGCTGTATACCGCAACAAGCTGATTACGACTCACCACCTCCCTGGCCATCGTGGAAGACGATTGCAGCGAGTCCTTCTGTGTGTAGCTGCGATGTTGAACTACAGGCTCGGGCCATTTGCCGCACTCTTGCTGTTTGGACTGGGTACATCGGCATACGGTTCCAGGAACAGCTCCGCCCGCACCTTAGATCCATACGGCTATGAGTTGTCGGTACGTGTTGGGATATGACAAACTCCTCCTATGTAACCCTCATTCCCACAATTCAGCCACTGGTCGTTACAAGGCCCGGTCAAGGTTGGTACTACAATCTTGAGGAGATCCCGCTGTAATTCACTTCGATGTTTAGACAAGTGCCCTCCGTGTTTCAATTGTCAGCTGGATGCATTCACGTGCGGAAACTCCGGAGAATGCTCAGCATACGATGGCCAGTGCAAATGTTCGCCGGGATGGTCAGGTATTGACTGTCTGACACCACGTACGTGTCATCTTTCTGTAACCGTGAGGTTACCGACGCTACGTTTCGAACCCAGAGTGCGACTCTTTGGCGGACGGAGAGAGGCGGAGGCCGCGCGAGGACGGGCAGAAGTGTGATTGCGAGGAGGGATGGGGTGGAGTCAATTGCAATGGTGAGTTGCTGCATCATAGCAACCTTTCCCCTACTGATCTAGCATTAGTTTGCATGACGGACAATGCTTGTATCGGATTTCCACTCGCGGGAAGACCTCTCAGCGATGGCGACGAGGTGAATAATATGACGTGCTATACTGGCGGTTTGACGATCTTCGAGAATCACCACATGTGCAAAGTGACAAGTATGTGTGCTACATGATGTTGACTGCCCCATGATCTCAGTAGTTGATAGACCGCAAGATTTTGGACATGCTGCCCGACCGCCCTCCAGAAGTTACATTCAGCTGTAACCGGGAGGCAAAGACATGCCAGTTCCAGTTTTGGACGGCCCAGGAGGAGTCGTTCTATTGTGGTCTGAACAACTGCAAGTCCACCATGGATGCCATGAATGCAACGCGATACGAATGCGAGAATATTGATTGTAGCTGCGTTCCGGGACGATTCATATGCGGCGAGAATGGGAGCATCGGTAAATCTCAAGTTTTGATAGGTTTGGGTCTCTAAAAATAATGACAATCACCAGATCTTACCGACTTCCTCAAGGATAATATCGTTGGGCCTGCTTCATTTAGCTGCAAAACACCCAAGGATTGCAAATTCGAAGAGCCTGGTATGAACGAAGTGATTGAGACTATCTTCGGAGATGGCTATATCACACTGGATTGCTTTGGTGGCGAGTGCTTGCATTACTCGCAGGTACCTGGCTATGTGGTCAGCATTGTGTTCGCGTTTCTTCAGATACCCTATAATCCATTTCCTCTTGTAGGCTCCGCCTAAACCTGACAACAGCAAATTCATCGCACTCAGCATCGCGGGGGCCGGTTTGGTCGTAATTACAGCTTCTGCTGTGCTCTGGTATGCAGGTCGGACAGGCTCTGGTGATTTCGGACAAATTCGCCTTCCAGAGAGCGAGACCGCGAGGCTGATGACAGAACATGTCCCTGCATCGTTACATTTCTCCGACATATCTTATATGCTTGGTACCAGAACAATTTTGGAGAACATTTCGGGATCGGTCAAGCCTGGGCAAATCATGGCAATCATGGGCGCCTCGGGTGCTGGCAAGTCAACCTTCCTCGATATTCTAGCGCGCAAACGCAAACGTGGACTTGTGAGCGGTCATATCCTAGTAAACGGACGGGAGGTTGCGGACGCAGACTTCAAAAAAGTAATGGGCTTCGTGGACCAAGAAGATACTCTTATGAGCACGCTGACGGTATACGAAACTGTCCTGTATTCTGCTCTGTTGCGATTACCACGAGAAATGAGTTTAGAGGCTAAGAAGTATAGGACTTTAGAGACTATGCACGAGCTAGGCATCCTTGGCATCAAAGATTCCAGAATCGGTGATTCCGGTGAGTTATAAGGATCTTCAATCCGTCTTCGCGATGTTAAGCACTTATGCAGGGCGACGCTCTATTTCCGGCGGCGAGAAACGTCGCGTTTCGATCGCTTGTGAGCTTGTCACCAGTCCGTCTATTCTCTTCCTGGACGAACCCACAAGTGGTTTGGACGCATACAATGCACTCAGTGTCATTGAGAGTCTGGTCTCACTTGCAAGAAACTATAATCGCACTGTTGTCTTCACGATTCACCAGCCGCGCAGCAACATCGTTTCATTGTTTGACCAACTAATTGTCCTTGCGCAAGGCAAACTCGTCTATTCTGGAGAAGCGGATAAATGCCATGATTATTTGGCTAGCATTGAACAACCATGCCCTCCAGGATTCAACATTGCTGACTACTTAAGTACGTTTGTCGCGACGTAATCTGATGATCTCCTGCTCAAATATTCTCTCGCATCAGTTGACTTGACTATGCAAGCGGGGTCACAGTCTAGCTCCAGTGGTAGTCCGCCAGTAGGGACAGATAGTTCGGACGATCATACTAACCTTCGTGATGAAGAACGCGCCTTCAATCCAAGTGCCGCCACATTGTCCGTTTCCGCCCGATCCCAGGAACAATCTTCTACGTCTGGGGACGAGACAGAGCTACAGCTTCGATCCGCTTCCATCGCTGGCTCCGCATCGGGTTACGTCAAGCGCAAGACCTCGCAGCTTTTGCAAGCTATCAAGCCTTCCTCGTATTCTGGTAGTATGCCGCTACCCCCTCGTCTGCGGGTATTGGTGGACGAGTTCGCGAAGAGTGAAATTTCCACCGCCTTCCGTGTGGAAACTGCTCAAGTGGAGCGTGCCGCTGCTGCTCCACCAACATCTACGACTATTGATGAGCTTCCCGACATCGCAGTCGAGAGCTCCCTCGCTAAGGGTCGCAAGCGTGCAAGCTGGGGCACACAATTCCGTATCTTGAGTGGCCGAGCGTTCAAAAACCTATATCGTGATCCAGCGTTACTGGCTGCCCATTACGTGTCTGCGGTCGTGGTAGCACGTAAGTAGGAGTCCATATGACTGTTTTATCCTCTTGTGACTTACAGTCTGGACCAGTGTTCTGTGGATACTTCTACTACAATGTTTCGTGGGTGGATCACTTATTGTTTTAGTGCAGAGGGCTTACCTCCGCCTTTAGAGACGACATCTCAGGATTCCAGAATAGACTAGGTGAGCGCAATAGCGTCCCAACTACGCGTGATAATTGATTGAAATTGTGTGCCTTAGGGGTATTCTTCTTCACTCTGGCTCTCTTTGGCTTCTCCAGCTTGTCGAGTCTGAGCTTGTTCGCGAACGAAAGGATATTATTCATGCGAGAGCGGTGAGCCTCCTCCCATGTCAACGAGTTCCCCGCTGACGTCCGTTACAAGCGCGAACGGATACTATTCGTCATTTACATACTTCTCATCGAAGGTGCGTCTACTTTTCCGTAATCAGGCGTAGAATCCGTTTTCTCATGGCCCGTTGTCGCAGATTCTATTTGATATCTTGCCGCTGCGCGTAGTCCCTCCTCTCGTTTACGGTGGAATCCTATACGGACTCGTTGGCCTCGTGCCTGCTGTTGCAAGCTTCTGGAAGTTCATGCTCACTCTCGTTATGTTTAATCTTACTACAGCAAGCGTGGTGCTCTGCCTATCGATCGCGTTCGCGAGCACTGGAGTTGCCAGCCTCGCTGGAACATTGATCATGCTGTTCAAGTACATCCCTCGATCATTTAGAGGCATTTTACGCTGATGTGCCCTCCCCGTAGCCTCTTGTTTGCTGGACTTCTCATCAACAGACAAACTCTCGGACCCCAGTGGGAGTGGCTGAACACCGTCTCCTTCTTTCACGCTGCGTTTGAAGCTTTGGCGGTCAACGAACTACGCTACCTGCAATTGAGGGAGAACAAGGTAACGTTATCGCTTTTTAGATCCTGCCACAACGCAACACTCATATACTTGTAGTATGGTGTGGACATTGATGTTCCCGCAGCTGCTATTCTTTCTACCTTCGGTCTCAAGGCCCAGGTATGTATTGATGTTTTCTCTTCATGCCGCTGCATTGCTCACCGCCGTTATCGATACAGTCATTCTGGTGGCCAAATATATCACTTCTGGGAATCTTCTTCGGCGTATTCACTGTGGCGAGTTATCTTATCCTCCACTTCTACGTCAGGGAGAAACGGTAGCACAAGGCCGACTAGTCCACGCCATGATATTGTAATTGCCTCTGCGTGCAATATCCCTGTCTTGTCATAGTCTAGTTTTGTCGCGCACGACAGCTGTAATGCATGCATATGTACTATATATATAGGTTGTAGGCCGATACCTTTGCTTCCTGTTCCAGGTTGATGTGACTGGGACCAGTTCACTCCTTGTTGGAAGTATACCTAGAGGATCAGGTTTATACACTCCTATGCAGTCCTTATTCCACAAGAATCAGACAAGTCCATTTAAGTGATCATAAAGGGGGTGATATACAGCACTCATTCATTATCGTCATTTAACGCATTACGTTGGTAAGTAAAGTGATGTTAGTCCTCCAGCGCTACCTTTAAATCTTCATAAAATAGCAACAATAGATTAAGAACTCATCACCACCACTCATAGATCCTTCCCCAGTGCTTGTTTTTCCTTCCTTGCTGCCTCGGCCGCGCGGACATCATGAATCGGATCAAGCTCAGAGAGGGGCTGTCGATACGAGCTGCCCATCCGGTCGGCCCACGTGAAATACTGACCGTAGTTAACAGTGAAGTATAAATGGTGCAGCGTATGATGTGCTGGGCCGTTAATGATTGTCTCGAGCGGATGTCCAGTGATCATGTCCGAATCGTGGATCTGCAGCGGAAGATGAGAGGTGCCATCGCGGAGCTCCGAGAAATGAATACTTACCAAAATAGTCCAGAAGTTGACAAAGACGAAGAGGCCAAGATAAACTTTCTGGTGAAGTGGGAAAAGGAATACGAAGATGTGATACGGGAGGGACTGGAAATACCCATCAAGAGGATGGAATGCGTGAGAGGCAAACGGCGTCGGTACTGGGGAAAGTGTGTCAGCGTAAGGCTCAAGAAGCCATAGGTAGCACGTACCAACCCACTTGTGGTGCGGCTTATGCAACCACTTGTACCACAGAGGATGATGTTCCCACCGGTGTATCCAGTAGATTCCAAAGTCGGTGAAAAGAAGGAACCTGAAGACCCTTTAGTACGTGAAGACCACGTCAATGGAAAGGCGGGTGCGCACCATGCAACGGAAAATATGAGATACATCCACCCGTATTCCTCAACGCTGGTGTACAGCTTCGAGTAACCCATGACCTCGGCCTGGAACCAGGGCAAGGTGAGTAGCGTCATAGAGCGGAAAGACTTCAAGCTGAGCTGGATCTCGAGCTTGACCTGGTTCTTGAGAAAGCGCGGGTGCTTCATCATCTCATGATTGAATACATATCTATATGATAGCCAGGCGAACGTGAAATAGAGGATGTGAATGCCGATGAGCGTGATAGCGAAGAGTGACAGAATCTGTCTGGGTATATACTCGCGGGGCCACGCAGAGACGAGAGAGGTCGCCAGTGCGGGTTGCGATAGGAGCTCAACTGGCAGAGCGGGATGAGGGATGTACGAGATTAATTGAGACCACTTTGTGGCATCAGGAATGATAGGGGACTGCGTGTTGTTCAGGGACGACTGGATAAATGCAGCGCTCGGAGATGAAGTAAAAGCGGAGACAGGGAGAAGGGCTGCCCAGACCCTGTCGAGGAAGAGGTCGTCACAGATGTTGAGCACGAGATCCATGGTTGTTTGCCACTGCAGTGACTTTTGAGGAGGCGGCCCGGGTATGAGGACGACACAACGAACGGCGACGGCGACAGACGAGCGAAGCCAACGGGAAGCCGTTGCCCTCTTTATTGCTAGAGAATGTCGGACCACTTGCCTATATTTTCGTCACGTGTTTTGATGAGTTTGTTACGCCGAGTCAGCAAATCCGCGCCTGAAGCCCTCAGGCTGGAGTCTGCTTTGAGTCTTTCGACTGTTGGATGGGCCTTTGAGTTCAAATCCATCTGAATATTGGAAACGATACATTGGCTTCTCTTCCTTACGGTTTTCTCAGCCTGACCAACGCCTCGTTTACGCAGGCCAGAAGTGGAAGCGTTGGCTTGGTCGAGTGCTGGAATCACCATTTACCCGACAGTTACGCGATGACTGATGAGAGGTCTACTTTCACGGCGAGTTCTATGGCTAGATGCTGAGGCGATGCAATGGAAAACCATAGCAGATCTGCTGCGATAACTTCGTCATTCCCAAACTCCGGCTTGAGGATAATGTTAAACGGCCCTCTGCTTTACTCGCCTACGATTATCTGCTCCATCTAACGGGTCACTGTTCTGTACGTCTGCTCATTCCGTCAATGTCGCCGCCTCACAGGAGACGGTGAGACGTACCTATGAGCTGTTGATTACCGTTCCAGTACTCTCCCAAGCCTCATTGGTAGCCGTCCATCATCTTAGATGATCATTAGGGCTCTTCCATTAACCCCGTCCCGGCCTATGGTCCTACCATTAGGTGGTCGAGACCCAGGCGAGTGTTAGACTTATTTATTAAAAACAACACTACAAGATCCCTACCCGCTTTGTAAACAGATTACTAGAAGCGACTTGTCCCAAACACGACGGTTCGAGGTCGCGGAGCGGCCAGGTTGCCCTGGATGCGAGGTGATCAAGGCGAAAAAAACACATCAAGCGGCTCTCGTTGGACAGTGGTACGATGTCGGCAAAATAATCATAGTTGATGTGGCTCAGTAGAGGAGCGATGGTCTGGGGGAACCCAGGACCGTGCATGCTCGCTTCATGATGATATAGCGGACGGGGTCGTACCACGCTGCGAGATATCCCGAATCGGCTAACAGCATATATGCTGCTTCTCAGTGTCATCGTATCTGACAGCACCACTTCTGATAGCGCCTGCCAGTGAGTGGGACCAGAGCGCTGTTCTTACGCCTTCCGCTGGCATGCAGTACCCCAATCCCAGTTGTACGTATCGGGAGTATACGTCTGCGAAGAGTTCTACAGCCTCGCATCGCACTGGTGTTCTATAAATTCCGTAAGTCCAGAGTGGTGAATGCAGGCAAGACAATAGCAGTGTTGTAATGTAAGTAAACCGAATGTGCAAGAGTGCATCGCAGCCAGGGAAGCGAGCATCCACCCAGTCCGAACCGCCAGGGCTACTGATGCGTGCACTCGGGGTCCTCACCAAAGCCGTCCTCATCCTCGTCGTCCTCGTCTATCCAATCGTGCTCGTCCGCGACATCAAACTGCTGCCCAAAACTTTGGTCAAAGAACTGGTATCCAGGGCCAAAAGCCGGCGCACGCACGTCGCCCATATCTGATTGCTCGTAAGCCACCTCGTCTACAACCTCTGGCGGCGGATCCATCTCAGGCTTTTTGGGCGGCAGCAGCTGTGCAAGTGCCTACGGGGAATATGAGCTGCTTAGGGTAGGGAGACGAGACATACGTACAGCCTTGTCGACGTTCCTCATCCACTCCTCGTCAGGCATGTCGATCTCGAGCATCACGTATAAACTGCCCTTTGTGTCTGGGTTCTTGTGCACAGGCATGCCCTCGCCGCGCAAGACGATGGTGTCCCCAGTTTTGATGACCTTTCCTGGTGGGCTTGACACCAAGATGCCTCGCCCGTCCAAGTGCTTGATGAGAATTCGTGAGAAGCCCATCAAAGCCTCCGAGAGTGTAATATGAACGGTCGCCAACAGATTGTCGCCTGCACGCTGGAATGAGTCGTGCTTACGAGTTTTCAGGACAAATATGACATCTCCAGGAGGAACGCCTGGCTGTGAGCGGAGTATCACTGATTGAGCCGCTCAGATCGATACAGCGTGCTTACCTCCTCGTCACCTGCGCCCGCAAGGACAATCTTGTGGCGATCAGGCATCCCGCGTTCGATGTAAATTTCTTGGCGAGTTTTCTCTTTTACTGTCTTCCGACCTTTGCATTTCTTGCATCTGAAAATCGGCTTAGAGAGGCACGCATCGCTATCAAACTGTACATACTGGTCTTTCTCCCTGAGCTTCTCACCGTGTCCATCGCAATTTGAACACATAGCTCGAGATGTGGCGACTCGCGATGGGCCGACCTGGGACGCGTGAGGCTCGAGCGAACGTAACACTGAGCAATGCTCACCTGGTTATAAACCATAGTCCAACCCTTGCCTTCGCACTTGACGCAAGTTTTCGGTTTCGCAGAACCCTTCGCTCCCGACCTAAGGTAAATATTGAAACGCAATAAATATAAGTAGGGAAGTATTTACTTGCCCTTTACACGTCCCACAGATAACCTCCTTCTCCATGTTCATCTTCACCGTCTTCCCATTGTATAGGTCCTCGAGGGACACGTCGTAGGGTATTACTGAATCCTCGCCCCGTGCCCGTCTGCCTCCACGCGGCCCTGGACCAAAGTCAAAGCCGAATCGGAGACCGCCAAAGAGCTCCGCAAAGATGTCCTCGTTCATACTTGGCCCTCCAGCTCCACCCTTGGTCACGCCATCCATGCCATATTGATCATACGCATCTCGCGAATCTGGCTGGCTGAGAATCTCGTAGCTGGCCATATACATCATGGGTCAGCGATGTCTCCACAAGACAATCGGAGAAGACGAGAGACTGACGCGGCAGCCATCTCTTGGAACTTCTGTCCTGCATTTGGGTCATCTGGATTCTACGAACGTGATACATGATCAGAAGGAGTCGAAGAGCGATTATGCGCACGGCACCTTGTCCTACAACAAACCGCGTCTGTGGTCAGAGCCTCTGCTGAGGCGCATGACAGCACGACGTACCGGGTGATGTTCCCTAGCCTGCACATAATGAGGTGGACGTCACGACAAGCAAAAGGATAGGATCGACCTTTTTCCGGTACGCTTTCTTGATCTCATCTGCGTTAGTCATTGAGAGTTTTGAGCGCTGCTACACGCAATGAGCCACAGTGTGCCAGTCACCTTCAGTTGCCCCCGGATCAACCCCAAGCAGATCGTACAGAGCGGTTTCTAAAGGCACTGAGCACGGGAAATGTAAATCATATGGAAAGGCGGAGTGACAGCGTGCACGTACTAGTGGCCCTCTGTCAAGATGGCGCAGCACTGAAGCGCGAGGGATAACAGCAAGATGGAGTCCACCCGACACTCTCCGTGATCACGACTTTGTGTGTACAGTTGGCGCGACGTACAGAGCTCGTGTGAGGGATGCAGCAGTGGCTCGTGCAGAAAGAGATGGATGTTCGCAGACGGACTTGCGCTGTGACCTGTAAAATGCATTGGCCACAGCGTGGAAACACGTGATCCGCCACAATGATCGAGTCTGGGGAATGACTCGGAAGTCAATGAAAACTGATTTTCTAGTTCGATTAATCTCGCATAGTCACTGCTCACAGCTATTCTATAATCAAGGTGATCTTGTTCCTAAGCAGCCTGATGTTCCAAAAATACACAAGAATCAAGATGTAATCGCTGCTAGCATATCTCTCCCCAACCCCCACCGCTGCAGAACCGATATCACCGAGGCTTCGGCGGCTTCTTCTTGACCTCGTCGTCGGTGCACACGTGGAACATGACCTTGTTTGGATGGCCGGGAGTCATTCCTGTATGGCCTTTTGACCACTCGTACGATACAGCATACGCGAAGACAGTGCCCGTGCGGTTGAAGCATGTCGAGGTGATGGGACCTGGTGCTTGCTCAAAGACTATCGAAATGAACGGATAGATGAATGAACAGCACCGATGGGGATCTACGCAAAACACAGCTTACCTTTCAGACGCGTGCGCGCATCTAGGTCCCAGATATTCATGACTCCGTCCGATCCTGCGAAATTAAATCATGAGACTGGGAATGATCTACAGCTGCGAATGTCAGCAGTACCGCATGTAGAGAGCGTGCCATGTATTGGGTGATATGATATGTCATTGATGGCAAACACTAAACTTTGACTCTTTTGGGTTGGAGACAAGTCCCTCCGATGACATCTAAACGAGAAGCTCTTCCTAAAGACGAGCTGTGACAACTGAACTGGGACACCAAGGAATGTCAGAACATACGTGGAGTCCTTCTCCTCCAGATAGCTAATGAAGGAATAGCGGTGAACGATACTCCGAATACCAAGTTGAGAGGTACATACTGAACAGCTACTCGTCCCTCGATGCTGCCGATTGCAAAGGCATCCGCGGCTGGAGAACATGTCACGACTCGCGTCTGCCAGCTTAGAGGTGAGGGCATTGTCTGTAAAGCTGTTCTGTCAATTGTGCGGCTTGATAATCGTGCAGATCGGAGTGTCAGACCTTATAGGGTGTTGTTGGGTTTGCGAGGTTGAATATTTGGATGTGGCGTTCAGCAGTCCCGACTACCAAGAGCGGATAGGCTACGTCCATCGAATAGCAACGATCCTGAAGCTGGACGGAAGCTACTGGATTTGGAGTACGCAGATCCCAGTACTGCAAGGATATTCGAGTCACCATGGTCAGGTCGACCATACATCGAACGTACCTTTAGCGTCTTGTCCCAACTACCTGTTGCCAGTATACCACCCTGAGGGGTATCAACCCACCTTACGCACTTTATGGGCGCGTCGTGCTGCGCGACCTGTTGCGACTGGCCGGTGTTGACATCGAACATCCTACCGGCGCTGTCGGTGCCTCCTGAAAAGATCTTCGCGCCATCCTACCAATGCCGGATTTACACAATGAAACAGCATGGGGACTAAGAATTACCTTGCTCCAGCATACGCTTAGAACTGGTGCTTGGTGCGCGTACAGCGCCTTACCCCGCGACTGGCCGTTCAGGCCTACTTCGTAGATGCGGACCTAAGTACAGTCAGCCAAGGGTACGAACAGGCTTAGCCATTCATTAGTACCCCCATATTTGCCCACATACGTTATTGTCCCAACTCGCCACTGCGAGGTAGTCTGCCTGAGAAGAGAACGACATCGAGGATATGGAATCGGAGGGAGGGTCCACCAGCTCGACATCCATTTGTGTCTGAGAGGTATTGATGTTGAGAGTGGACCTCGGTGCCCCAAACAGCGACATTTCGCAAGAGAGCCAACTCGAGAGTTTATAGAACAAGACAAGAGCCAGCCGATGATCTCATATTGTTCAACGTGAGTAACCATATTTGGTAAACAGGAATGCCTGATGCGAGTCAGGCGCCGGTGCCGATTGGCCTCCGTCTGTTGTGACGCTTATCCCTCGTCCAAGCTAGACACGGGCCAGCTCATCATTGGAATTTGTACAAGACACGCTACGATATACTCATGATGCCCAATGAGTGACTCTGCGCCGCCGAGAGCGATACTTGCCATAGGCATACGTAATTCCGCGAAACCACAAACCTGGCCTCCTTACCTTCTGCGATACGACTTATCCTACTCTAAAGTCTTCGTTGTATGAGAAAAACCATACCTCCAGCAGAGAGCGACCTCTGTTGGCAAGTAGCAGCCTGTGCAACTCCGATAATGGTAGATGAACTAGCTCTAGCACCGCAGGCTGAGGTTCACAACGCGTGCACAGCGGCATAATCAACAGACAACCAAGTTGCAAAAACGGCTGCGATGAACTTACAGGTTACCTGAAGATGAATATTTCATCAAGCAGCTTCTGAATCTGAATGAGTAACCCACGCCTCCATTCACGCCATCTTACATACGTCGTGTCACGTTCCCAGCGAATGCCAAATGCCTCACGAGGTCAAGAGAGAACCATCCACAAAGTCGAGCATAAGGCTCGGACCGAATAGACCATAGATAAACTGTTGTTTTCCCTGCAAGTGCGCGACGGGTGGCCTTGAGGTATCGAGGAGTGGTTGCGCGCGACGGTCGTGATTGTGTGCGAAAAAGCCACTGCGGCAGTGATATGAATGCAAGCGTGAACGAATGGCGATGAGCGAGAAAGGGGGGAAAGAGGAAGGGCACGCGCCAATCAGCGCCATCTTGGGATCTGTCCCGAAAAGGGGCGCGCCACCCGGTCCTGCATGAAGTGGACGCTCCGGCTGTGACACAGGGCAGCCTCCCCTTTCTCAGCTGCACCACGCACGTCCTCCCCTCCCCCGCGCCAGCTCGTGCGCTCTTTCTCATGACCATCTTTCTCCCTTTGGAGGCCTCGTCGCCTTTGCCCCAGTCGCCTTCTTTTCTCGTGCCCTCCTCTGAGTCGTCTGCTCAGGTCAAGAAGGTCGTCAAGGCTATACTCAAGGCCCGTAGGATCGCGGTCGTGTGCGGTGTGTGACATTTGCAACGGACGTCCTGTTTCGTTCCTGATACAATTTCATCGCGACAGGTGCCGGGATCTCTGTCCAAGCTGGCATCCCTGACTTCCGGTCATCAGATGGACTTTTTCAGTCCTTGAAAAAGGACAACCCGACGCTGAGCTCAGGGAGGGATTTGTTTGATGCCTCGGTTTTCAACGTGAGTATTCCTCGCTTTTGCTCTCGGTTAATCGAGCATATGCAATACGGAAGGATGCTGTCTCGATAGTGACCTTAAACGTGGCACGAGGCTCCTTTGCGCTGGGTTGTGAATCTGGCAGGCGTGGCGATGGAATGGAACAGCTATTGGAGTATTTCTCGCAGTGTGCGCTACACTGGCCAGCACTCGCTCGCGACTTACTTGACCTGGCACGGTGGAATACTTCTGTTTTGCCAAAAATGGGCCATTTGTGCACCTAAATGTCGAAGAGCCACACATGAAATGACTCGAACAGCGCTGGACGGTCCTTATGCGTGACCGGAATTCTATCGCTAATCAGCCCGACCCCACCTCCGCAAGTGAATCTTGCAGGGCATATCGGAGGGTGTCGAGGTCGCAAAGTGAATTTCTGATCATCTATTTTGTCTCCCCGTTGTCAATCCTTACACTAATTACGTATGGGACAGTCAGAACCGACGACCTCGATGTTTTGTCAAATGATTGCTCAGCTCTCTGAGCTCTCTGAGGTTGCTACCCCGACATCGTTTCATAAGTTGCTTCGTGCACTCGATGAACGTCGTCGTTTACTGCGAGTTTACACGCAGAACATTGATGCTCTTGAGCAGAAGTCTGGCCTCACTTTTGGTGTCCCAGAACTCGACTGCAAACGTTACAAACCTCGTTCTGCAAGGGGAAGAGTTGATAGCACGAATGAGGCTGGACCGTCTGTCGTGCGCGTCGAACCCGAACAGCCCCGGCTTCCTACCCCACCGATGGAAACCCCTAGGTGTATACCTCTCCACGGCACTCTGCAGATGATGCACTGTCAAACTTGCACTCATTCGTTCCCCTTGCGCGACTACATGTTGGATCTTGGTGAGGGCAGGCCACCGTACTGCCCAGAGTGTACCTCCTTGGAAGAGACTCGTCAGTTGATAGGCAAGCGGTCTCGAGGGGTGGGCAAGCTGCGTCCCAGTGTGGTTCTCTATAATGAGATGCACAAGGATGGCGAAGAGGTGGGGGATGTTGTTCGCCGCGATCTTCTCGGCAGTTCGAAGGGCAAGGGGCGGGCGGGTGCAGATCTCCTTCTGGTCGTCGGCACAAGTCTGCGGGTGCCGGGCACAAAGCGGATCGTCCGTGAGTTTTCGAAAGCCGTCCACTCTCGTTCAACGCCGCCGGTGTCGCAGAATGAGCTGTCAACCACCATGCTCGGTCTCACGACACCAACGCATTCGCCACGCCGCTCGCCTGCCGGCGATGATGAGCCACCCATCAAGACAGTCTACTTAAACCTCGATTTTCCCGTGCCGACCCGAGAATGGGAGGGTGTATTTGACGTATGGATTAGAGGAGATGCACAGGAGTTTGCTCGATTGGTACATGAAGAGATGGATCGGGAGGAGCAGGCTAAGCAGGCGGCGATAGAGAGAAAGCGGCAGAGGGAAGAGGCGATTCTGGCAGCTCAGTTGGAGGGTGAGACTGAAGTAGGGAAGATCAAAGGCAAGAAGCGTAAAGATGCTCCTGGCTCGGAAGTACCTCCTTCCGCTATCCATGCCAAGAGGCGCAAAGTCGTCGTTCCCATAACTCCCGTTTCCGCCTCGAAACATGTTCCAACGAAGAGACTGAAGATCAAGAAGCCTGATAGCAAGGTGTTGCCCACGTTAACGAAGGGTAAGAGTCGAGATAACAACAAGACCAGGCTCATCATTCGCATCCCTCCACGCCCGGAGGTACTCATCACAACGCCCGCACCGAAGCCCACGAAGAAGAAACATTTGACGACTCCTAATCTTACGCCACCGGACTCCCCGCTGTCGTTTCCTTCGTCGTCGTTACCGAGGCAGCGCAAATCGTCCACAGGATCGGGCGACTGGAGCACGAGTTCGCATTCTCCCCCGAGCCATGGGCCAGGCTGGGATGCGAAGCTGGCTGCTCGCGCCAGACGACAGCTATCATGGGACAATTTGGATGCCCTCAGCGATCTATCTGACAATGAACCGCTGGATGAGTGTGCCGAGTCCTATCTGCCTACCGTCCCTTATGCGGCACATCGTCCGGGTAGTTAGTGGGTTCATAGCAACAGAAACACTGTAGAACTGTTACCCCTGACCTTATATTTATTCATATTGTTTATCCCATTACTACCGTACAATAAATTCGCAATGGACTTTTATTGTACCGTCTTGCGCGGAGTTCGGTTGAGGATGTGGGCGCTTGTAGGTCATGTCTTACTCGCCCAATGTGGCAGGCGCATCAGCCAATAGCCACAACGGAGGACAAAGGTTGATTCTGCACATAAACGCTCCTCGCCCTCACCTTCGAATTGATACACCACTACCCGAGCATTGCGAACCATTCCAACAGCATGTCGTTCTTTGGGAACGCGTCGAGGTCTACGACGGTGACCACCACCCAGGCAGACAAGGACATCGAAGTGGCGGACCCGCCGACGGACTCGATATCCTCCATCTCGTTCTCCCCTCAGGCAGACTATCTTGCTGTGGCGAGCTGGGACAACAATGTATGCCTCACATTGGATGCATCACCGTGCATTAGCTCACCCTGCCGCGTCATCCTGCGTTGGAATAGGTCCGGATCTATGAAGTGGGGCAGAATGGCCAGACGCAGGGAAAGGCGATGTACGCGCACCAGGGGCCGGTATTGAGCCTGTGCTGGAACAAAGTACACTTTTCATTACTCAATGTGAACTATCACTAATGCGGCGACGGGCAGGACGGCACGAAAGTCCTCTCGGGTGGCGCAGACAACGCGGGCAGGATGTTCGACGTGACCACGGGGCAGTCGCAGCAGGTGGCGCAGCACGACGCGCCAATAAAGTGCGTGAAGTGGATCGAGGCCCCACAGGGCGGCATACTTGCTACGGGAAGTTGGGACAAGACCGTGAAGGTGCGTGCGCCCGGCGTCGGTGGTGGACTCGTGCTAATTTCCTCGTAGTATTGGGACCTGCGCACCCCAACCCCGGTGTCTACCGTTCAGCTTCCGGAGCGCTGCTACACGCTAGACGTCGTTTATCCCTTGATGGTCGTTGGTACCGCCGAGCGCCATGTCCAGATATTCACCCTCACCAATCCCACCACACCGTACAAAGTGCGCCACTCAGTGCTTGGGCCTTCGTGAGGTGCTGATGAAAATATGTGTGCAGACGATGATGTCGCCGCTAAAATGGCAAACACGAGTCGTGTCGTGCTTCCCGGCTGCAAACGGCTTCGCGATCGGTAGTGTCGAGGGGCGAGTTGCTATTCAGTGCGTCTGATCTCTCCTTTTCAGAGACCCTATACAGAACTCACGCGTGACTGACAGATATGTTGATGAAAAAGATGCTGCGTTCGTGCTTTTTCATCCCGCATTCATGAGATGCTCTAATACAGGTACTGTTCATGCAGGGATAACTTTTCATTCAAATGTCACAGACGAGACCAGTCGCCGACTCAGAAAGATCAATCGCTTGTGTTTGCAGTTAACGATATCTCATTCCATCCCGTTCACGGGACATTCTCCACGTGTGGTATGTGGCATGTGCGCACGTGTTACTCGTGTTCCACGAGATTTACCCTCGTTTGCAGGTTCCGATGGCACAATCAACTACTGGGACAAGGATGCGCGCACGCGTCTCAAGTGTATGTCTCATCCTCTTGGTGTATTCATATTGTGCTCATGAGTTATCCAGCCTTTGAGCCTGCACCCGGCCCGGTTCCTACGACCTGCTTCAACCGCACGGGTACAATCTTCGCGTACGCGGTGTCGTATGACTGGTCGAAAGGTCACTCAGGGATGACGCCTGGGCACCCGAACAAATTAATGCTGCATGCATGCAAAGATGACGAGGTGAAGCGAAAACCAGGGAAGGCCCGATGAAAGGCGGTTGCGTGCCTTGTCTTGTTTCTATACCGGCAGCGAGATGCACTGCTGAATGGCCTGAGGGTAAGGATGCAAATTTGTATCTCATTTTGTATGGATGTACACTGCGCTCGTCACCTGTTGCTCTTGATCCCTGGCAGTCCGTGCGCGACTGTGAGATTTATTGAACACGGCGTTTGATAAGCCTTGGTGAGCAATTGGGAAAATGACATGTAATGGATGACAACGCCATGTTTGATCCACAGCTCCCGATGCAGTCGTCTCTTGATTACATATTCGACTCAGGGCGACAAAATGGACATCCTAACGAAATAAAATACCCAGATCTCTGCGGGTCTGTTATTCGTACCAAAGAGCTTATCATAGTTTACATCTGCCTGATTCAATGTCCATCGGTGGCTGCACCGTTCTCGACATCCTGGTCTCGTCAAAGAATTTGGCGTTATCGTGATCCTGCTTGAACGTGTCGATCTTCTTTCCGCGAGCCTTGCTTCCGAGGTCATTCCCTTTGTAGGTCTACTAGAGAGGAATCCGTCCCGCTTACAGATAGGGCTCAATGAAGAACGAAAGAGCATTTTAACACGGCAGCAGGCGTAACTGAATAGCACGCGGCACAGCCCAACTCGGTGCACTGCCATGCGCCAAACATGTTCTCCTAGGTCTCCTCCATCATGTCGGCCGGCTGGCCTAATGGTTAAGGCGTCAGTTTCCGGTTTGGGGTCAGCTGAAGATTCGGGGTTCGAATCCCCGGTTGGTCGTTTTTTTGCCCTTCTCAGTTTATAGTTCGTTATTGCAATTCGACCTTTTTTGGTTTGAACCACGTGGCTTCGACGCGTACGCGTTGAACGAGTACTCTGAGGACTCATAACGAGCAAGTACTCCCCTCGACACTAACATGTCTTCGTCGAATCCATCCACCTCCAAAACAGACACCAATTCAAAACCTGTCGAGCCTGCAAAGGATGAGCAAGCGCAACCCACGCTCGGCATACTAGAGGAGGACGATGAGTTTGAAGAATTTCCTGTGGCAGGTACGCGTCCCCATGACCATAGGTGGATCGCTATCTTATTGCTCTTGCTACTACACTAGACTGGGATGATTCGGAGACAGACCTCGCACATCTCGGCGGGGCGGCACCAGGAGCTGCCAAGTCTGGCGGGGACAAGCTTTGGGAGGACAACTGGGACGACGATGATATCGAGGACGACTTTAGCATTCAATTGAGGTGAGTCGAACTTGTGTCCTACTTCCATAGCTCAAAAACATATAAAATTTGTCTATGTAGGAGCGAACTGGCGAAAAAGAGTAAGGGCGGTAATGGCGGCCCCGAGCCGATGCAGCACTGA